CTCATTGTTAGACTCCTCTTCTGAGCTCCAAACCCACAGACCTAACTGCCTCTTTGATGTCTCTGTATGGATATCGAAGGCAGTTTGGCATTAGTATCTAACAATCCTGTCCCACATTCCTCCCCTTCCCTTTCCTTCATCTCAGTACATGACAGCTCTATCTTCCCAGCTTGCTAAGCCAGATGTCTTCTAAAAATTCTTGACACCATCCTTCACCTTACTCTAATTCATCAGTAACTCTGCTCAAATATTGAAAATGTTATTGTAATAGCACCACATTTTCTCCATTCTAACGTCACTCTTTCTTTCCACGTTCCTCCTGACATGAATTCAACTTTCTCACCCTGTCATAGTCTCATCTTCTCGAGGAATCCCTCCCTGTCCCCTGATCTGGAGTCTACCTTTTACTTCCGCCCTACACTGTGTTTTTGCTTTTTAGAAAGGTAATAGGTTATTTTTGTACTCATACAATATTTACTCTCCCTCCTCTGGATCAATAAGGGCGAAAAGCTCACTGGTCTTATTCTGTGAAGCTACTGTGTCTAGCACAGGGCTGGGCACTTAACCAGCCCTCAGTGACTACGGTACTTACTGAAGTTTCAGTGTACATTTTGTGAGCTTTATGAATTCATCTTTCTTTCCGTCCTCTTTGGCTATGACTGTCCTCCTGGTTGTCCTTATCTTCTCATAGTCGCAGTTATGTCGCTCGAAGGGTGACTCTCAGTCTCTTCTGAGATATGCTCTCAAATTTAGACATCTCCATTCCTGCTTTCCTCATCTTCCCAGGAGAATACTCTGAAATTCCAACTCACATACACCTCTGGTACTTGAAGGAGCCCTATCTGTCACTTACATTCTGCCCTCGAATCTTCCTGTAGTTTGCCATTTTCCAAAATGCAGAATCAGAGAATTGTTCTGCTGGGAGGCTGATGGGACATCTTACCTATCAGGCTTTGTAAAAGAGGAACTATAGGTCCAGAAAGAGGGAGACTTGTCCTTATGCCCAAGGTCTTCTCACTTGCTGTCCAGCCCTTTATTACACTGACAACCTCCGTGGCTTCCTCTCCTAAATGTGAAAGGAAAACTCCTTTGCTAGCCATCCAAGCAGACAGTGACAGGTGCTTACAAAATCTAAGCTACTACCAATTGTTCCACTACAGATTCCTTTTTTTTCCTTTCTGTCACTTTACTTTGGTGTTGTGAACTGAACTTATTTGAATTTATTCTCTCTATTCCTTGTATTCACCTTAGGCATTTTGGGGCATATCTTTGTTCTTCTGTGTACCCACCTAGCATATCTTTCTCTGGCTTTATTTCCTTTTCAGATCTGATTTGTGTTTTGAACCCCAAAGCAGGTCAAATATATAATGGATGTTAACGCATTTGTTGGTGAATAAATGAACTAATACAATATTTTAGTCAGTTTCCTCCACATTGACTATGACTAAATTTCCTTTAGTAGACATCATTAAGGAGCTACTATCATATTCTGAAGTTTGCATCAAAATGAGCAATATTTGAAATGTTTATATGAAGTGTTCCATTGTCAAGAAGCAGTGATTTCTTAAACCAGTTGGCCATTTCACCCTACTTGTTGCTCTCTTAGGAAACTATCCATTCAATTTCCTCAAATGATCCCTACCTCCTATACCTCCCCAAAGTAGGCACCAATCCTGATTTTTCTGAGCTGAACATTGGTAGGTAGAGGCTGGTGAGAAGGGAAAGAAATATGAGAGTCACAGGGAGAAAAGGAAACCCTAGAAAATCTAGAAGTTGGAAAACAAAACATGTGTAATATGACTTCATCCAAAGAATCAAGTTAGGAAACAATCCAGAGATTCTTGTTCTTAAAGGAGACTTTATACTGCAGGTATTACTTAAAATGTATATTAAATCCAAGAATGATTTCAACATTTGGTTTCTGGATACAAAATCTGGCCAACAGTAGCCAACATTTTAAAACAATTGGACAGCCAAATGATTTTGCAAGAAAAGGAGAATTTCTGGGACATAAGTTGTTATGTTGAAAATATTAACCTTCGTGACAGACATAGCTGCACTCTCTCCTACTGTGAGCTGTTAAATAATTTATAGTTATCACTATAGAAGTGAAATTAAAAAATAGAAATTAATTTTCAGAATTTGGAACTATAACTGGACCAGCAAGAAAAAGCCTTATATTAAGCAGTTACTTATATCTATTGATGTCAACTGTTTTATTTAAGCTGTCCCAAAGTGCTATGATAAGCTTGGAGGCCTGTGTAGTCTTTAACTTGATCTTTAAAAACAACAGAATTTGAGTAAATGTCAATAAAATTATTGAAAGATAAATATTCTTTCTTGTAGCATATTTGATCTGGACTGTCAATAAACAAAAATGTATTTCCTAGGATAACAGGCATGAATACTAATCTATGAATTTTAATTTAATGTTTTACCAGAGAACCCGAGGAGAAAATAAAACTATTTTGGACATCTGTTGAATTATACTTAGAGTAAAACTGGACACATTCACAGTTCAGGAAATGAAATAAAATTCTTAATGTACGTACATTAAAATGCTGTTTACCTACTGTTATGATTTTTCACATAAAAGCCCAATCTGAATTAACTCTGATGCACAGAATTGTTTGATCCTGTTCCTGCCCCTTCCTCACACTGACTAACAGGCTTACTCGTACTTTGATGCTAAAATCAATTTTTACCAGGGAATACATATATTTATACTCACATAGTGCAAACAACCTAAAGCCACTGAAGTTGCAGTTTACCTCAATATTCTGCAGCTGTTACCCTGTCTCCCACACTATGTTAATAAAGACTAAGTGAAAAGCAAAGGCAAAATTCTTGCAATTGGAAGAGCTCTCTTTCAGTTCTGTGCTCTTTCAGACATCATGTACCAAATGCTACAGAAGTGTAGCTGCTAACTTGTCTCCCTTAGCTGGCATTCCTGACCCATCAGCTGAGGTGCAGACCTGGAGGAGGCAATGGAGAGGGGGGAAAGAGGGAAGATGTAGCTGTAATGTTGAAGATTTCAGGCCCCTGCAAAAGAGGATAAGAGCTCTCCTAGGTAGGCAGAATCAGAGGAGAAGGTAATTCATGAGAAAGCCTGGGGGGGAGTCGACAACAGCAGCAGCAAGACAATAAAACCCAAGTTGCTCTCACTCCATGGCTTCAAGACAGGGACACAGTAGCAGCTTGTCACCCAGGAGCAGGTGTTCATTCTTTCAGCCATTACAAAAAGGAACCCTCAGAAGTCGCCCAATCTTGTCACTGTGAACAGTTACATGCATTTGTGAAAGTATGTGTGTAACTGTGTATACTTTCTAAAACTGCAAGTTAGTACTAAATAATGGACTAGCTTTGTTCAAAAGCAATATTTATTTTCCACGAAGAGGCATATTACAATTGCTATAGAAAATGGTATGGGAAGAAAAAGCTATATGTTACCAATACAACAAAAACGTATAAAAACTCTACTTATGGAAGTGTTCTGCCCTTTAAGAACATATTGAATGAAAGGCATCATTACAGGTGAGTGAACTATACAGAAATGTGGATTTATTAGGGTTTGTTTTGAACTGTAATTTGTACAGTGAGGTTTTTCTTTCTTTGATGGCGGTGAAACTGATTTATTGGCTAATGTTGGAAGTATGAGAGATAACAGATAACCAAGAGAGAAGTTTTAATAAAACATTCAGGGAAGAAAACAAAAAGTGAGTGAATATGTCTGTTTACATTTCAGCTAATAGATACAAAGTGTAGATAAGGTTTTAAATGAAAACCATCCTGGTTATTGGAGTTTGGAAGATCTATTGAAAATTGAGTAGAACACTCTAATTTTTCATACTTACAGCTACTACATGAGCTGCAAAAGCTAGATTGAGTGATATAATACACAGTTTTGTTTTGGTACAGGAAGCCAATATTTTCACAGGAAATTTGCAAGTAGTCATGAAAGGGAAGAGTGGTTCCTGATTACTAGTATCTTCCTGGGCTCTTTCTGATTGTGCTGTAGGATCTGGGGGGAACAGGACAATAGAATGTTTAATTTTACCACTCAGTCCCTGAGTAAAAATACTGGATAATCTTAAGGAAATTTCTTTTTTCTTTTTGAGACAGGTCCCACTATGCAGTTCAGGCTGGCTGTGAGCTCACTTTGTAGCCCAGGCTGCCCTTGAACTCACAACAATCCTCCTGCCTCAGCCTCCTGAGTGCTGGGATTACAGGGGTACGCCACCACGCCGGGCATCTTAGGGAAGTTTTAGAAGGTGTATCACCAGTAAGTGTACATCTTCCAGCTCAAAGTACGAAGAAGAAATAAGTCACCTAAGGAAAGCTGAGAACTTGGATTTGAGTTGAGAACTTTGATCTGAGACCATCCTGCTCAGAAAGCCAGGTGTACATAGGCCATTCCTAAGACACCATTCATCTTCACCCGCGCTGTCACATAGAAATCAGCTCTCCTTTTCACTTCTAAGGCAGGAGGGAAGGTGAAGCTCCTGTGAGCAGTCCTGAGCTATCCTGACTTGGGTGTTCCCTCTTACATGTCTGGCTTCAGAGCACGATGAATCCCTTCCCACTGCTGGAGTCAGTCTCTTTAAAAGAGACTTGAAGGAGCCAGGGAGGAAAATTTACTTTGAATACCAACAGCCAAGGCAGGACAGTCTTCTAGTGGGAGATCAGGCTCAGTTTGGGGCCCACAATTCACAGTGGGCTCCTCAGAATATGTTTCACAGATTTGGAAAAAATGGGAAACCCAGATGCAGTTTCACCTGGCTCAGGAACACGAACTAAGGATGGTGAGAAAGTATATGATTAAGGACTTACATCAACCAACACTGGTGGTTTTATTAATGTAAAATGCTCTTAGGCTATAAATAATCTATGGTGGCCTGCCAAATTTAAAATGTCATTGTGTGTGTGTGTGTGTGTGTGTATATATATATATAGAAGAGACAGGAACACAAAGGACAAAATACATAAAATTATTGAAGCAGTTTGCAGAATTCAAATCTTTTACTCAATATGGGTTCTACCAAGTTTTCCATGTAATTTCCAGTTACATCTCTATTTCAATGCTTCCTTTTCTGACTTTCAACTTCCCAAATCTTTCAAAGAGCACCATTTTAAGAGGGTCACACACACTTCCCATGCCATTCCTGAAAAGATTTGCTTTTGTGGAGGAGTTTTTGGAAAGAAAAACAAAAACAAGAAGTTCTACTACAACTTATCTTGAAGGATTTTTATAATCTTGCTAAATTTTTTTTTTGAGATAGGTATTAAATGAAGTAGAACACTACAGCAAAATGGATAAAAAGACAACTTACTGACCTAATTTCTAAAGCTCTCATATTATTTTGGTCTGGTTGGGGGACAAGAAACCATGGTCCACCTTGGTGAGTGTGTAGTGCAGCTCATGGGAAAAATGGCTAGGTATTTAGCTTTTTCTCAGAAACCATATTTTTTCTATGCTACAATTAAGGCCTATACATAAGTAAAGCTCATCTTTTGGTTTTTCATGTACAAAGTGGTTTCTCTCGGAGAGTAATATTCAAAATGGTTTGTGATTCAACATTTAAAAATAAATTCCTCTTTTGAATTTCCTAAAGACATATTTCATACATTTGATACATTCTTTATTTTGACAAAATATTAAGGGTCTAAATAATTCAGCCATTTGTGAGCTCTGGCATACCTGGTTATATATGCTGAATAAACCCTTTCATGTATTTACACATAGACATGGATATGGGTGTACCTGTGTGTATACACGTATATCCTCATATACTGTTATTAAATGCAATCGTATATTCTTGGATACAGAAGTTGATGAGGCCCCTCTCTGTGTGCCCCAGCACTGACAAAGCTGGGATGGACTGGCTCGCATTCACTGCACTGCATGTGAGTGTGGAGTAGCTCAGTCTCTGGGCAGCAAGGGTCCCTTACTACATCCTTCTTAAATGGAAGTTTCTCTCATGCTTAATGTACGTATGCTCATACTCTCTTATCGAGGTGGTCTCGAACCACAGATACAATCGCAACGTTCGTGGTGATCCAGCTGGATGTCAACAAGGGCCATGTTCTTCGCTTTGCCTCTCTTTTTGAAGCGGCCAGGCTCAAACTTTAACACCTAAAAGAAGAAGCATAGCTCCGGTTAGTAAACTCTTAGCCCTTAATTCACCTGCATGTCACTTATTCCCTTTATGGTAACTGGTTCCTCATCCTTTGAACATCCAACAAAAGCTATGGGCTTGCTATTAGAATGTGTATGCATAAAAGTATTTTTATAATCACCGACTCCCCAAAGGGCAGAATTTCACTAGTCCCAGAGCGCTGTCCCTGTACCACCTACCTGTAAATCCAGGGTAACCTCAGGGATCCTAGCAGATTCTCAGTATTCTAAGGGCCTGATCTGTGGGAAGTCGTATCCCAAATATATCATTACTCTTCTGACCAAAGCATGTGCTACAGATGAATATAACACTGAGCATATTATTGCCACAGACAGGACAATGAACAAGGTATGAGCATGATATGCTAGTATGAGTAAATGTAAATTTTTCCCTGAGGTTGTAGGTGGGACATCAGTGATAATATGTTCATAGTCTCACAATATTTGTGAAGACATAATGCCTTTTATAACTTAAAACAGGTCAGGTTCCACTAAAATCTTTGTGCATTAATACCTATGCATCAATGCAGCATGGTTTTAATTAGTAAGTATATCCCAAATTTTTAAAATTATTTTAAAGAGAAAGAAAAAATACAGAATTTCAAAGCAAGATAATAGGATATTAACAATGGTTAATACATTGTGTATTGTTAATTCAAAATAGTTGCTCAATTTACAAAATATAAGCATGAAAAATTGATCAAACTATATTTTCAATGAACTAAAAGAAATTAGTAGTACAATTATCTTAACCATCTTGTATGCATATATATATATATTTTTCTTTTCTTTCTTTTCTCCTTTCAACCCATCCCAGTTGTTCTTTCCTTTTGAGCAGCTTCTTTCCCTTTACATTATGTATTGTAGATTTTGGATTTTATCTACCCTTTCAGTTTCTTATTCTAGGGAGACAATATGAAGTTTACACATGTGGGTCTGATTTATTTCACTTATGAATATGGTCTCTAGTTGCATCCATTTACCTATAAATGCCTCAAATTTATCCTTCTTTATAGCTGAGTAGTACTCACCTTTTTGATCCATTTCTCAGTTGATAGGCATTTGGGCTGTTTCCAAGATTTATCTATTACAAATTGTGCTGCTATAAACGTGAATCCAAAATTTTTTAAGTTAATAAATTTAAACATAATATGCTAAATTAGTAGTTTAAATAGAAATTAACGCTTCTTAGCTGTGGCCTTCAAAGAGTCAACAATATCTCAAGGATAAATGCTTGATAAAGTTATATACTTGCTTTCATATACAATTGTTTAAATCTTTCATGTCTTTAGGTTCCTATAGGTCTTTTTTCTTTATTTTGTTCTATTTTCCTGAAAGACCCTAAACTCCCTCATGGCAACTCCAAAATATTATGCAGCACTTTAAGTTTCCATACATTTTGCACAGGTATTATAATTTTGCTCTAAGAAAAATCTTGGCTGTCACATAGTGAAGAAGGTATCATTATACCCAGTTTATAGATTGGACACTAGAGGTTCTAAAGGAGGTGAAGTAGCTTGTCCAGGGTCTTCCACTGGCTTGGATCTGGGGCCAGGGCTTGGTCCCTCGACTCTGCGCCTACAATTTGCTTTTGTGTCTTATGGGTGTGTCTGACTGTGAAGAGCAGTGGGAATCTGTTATGTTTACTGTGCTATAATTTAGTCCTAGCTAATGTTCAAAGGTAGGACTATCTTGCTGTGAGGTCTGCCGTTTTTGATGACATGCCCACAGTTCCTTACTATGGTTTGTACTCTCAGCCAATGTCTCACCCTTACAATAAATGAAGTCTTAAGCAAACCAATATCATCTACTAGAAAAAACATGCCCAGGTCCTTTGCACTCATGTATGCTAGTCTCACATTCTGTTAGCTTCTAGCCATGCACTTCCATGGGAGTTCCAGGACGGCAGAGAATAAATCACTGCATCTTTTCACTGTTGACTCAAGGGATGTGAAGTTTGACTCAAAAAATTGTGAGTATGAAATTGAGACAGTGAAATGGAACACCTAAGAGAGCTCATGAGGGGGACACACAGACCCCAAAGTGTTTATTATTGGTAGAGTTAGTCCAGATGCCAGTTTTTATAGCTAATTATATTTTTAGCATTCATCTTCCGCAATTTCATGGCACTTAAAACGTGTATCGTACATTTCCATGGGGCCCATTAAGTGTTTTCTCTACTGATTGGATTATAAGAGCTTGAAGGGCAGGAGCAGTCAAATCTGAGGGCCTACTAGATGACGGGCACTGCTGCGAGAGACTGTAAACATTAAATTACTTGGACTTCACTGCACTGTGGGAAAAACGCTTTGTAATTTAGTTCACAGATCAGGGGAGAGTTTAAATTACTTGCATAAGATCCTGGATTTGACACCACAGAGCCTCGGTCGTGCCCTTCCTCCTGTAATCTGGTTTGTGCTTCTCAGCAGCGCAGTAGCGGCTCAAGAAAGTGCATCTGAGCAAACAAGATGTGCCATACTAGCAAGGACAGACACAAGGAAAGTTTCAAGCTCGTTCTGTTACCTCTTTGTGAGTCTCTGTCTCAAGCTTCAACAAACACAAGAGGCAAAACAAAAGTGAAAAGGAGGGCTGGGGATTGAGCTCAGTGGTACAGAGCCTGCCTGGCAAGTGTGAGGTCATGAGTTCAATTCCTGGTACTGGAAAAAAACTTAAAAAAAAAAAAAAATGAAAAGGAAATAAGGGTGAGACAAAAGAAAATGTCCCGTGTTTCACATAAGTTTTAATCCTCTCATAATTTTGAAACAAAATTGAAAGTTCTGAGAGCAGAGTTACAGTAACATCTGCCCTTTTCTTCTTCCATATTTTCTCCTTCTGGATAGCTATAGAAAATAAAAGATGTTATTTCTCAAAGAAAAAATATGTGACCAAACCAACGGCTAAAGAATGTATTATATTTGGGGTATTAAATAGTCCTATTTGTGACTAATATAAAGACCCTATGTTTCCATATTTGGTAAGAGTGGTTTGGAAGGGGATTGGAGCCCGGTAGTTCTGCCAGGAATTTCTCCGTATGTTAGTCCCTGTCACCCAAGACTGTCTACGTGAGGTAGCTTTGGGGCTGGGAGCGTAGGGAGGGAAATAACTGCAAAGAAGCGGAGCATGTGATAAATATTCCTTGTTTGAAGAAGATCATTATCAAGGCCTAATAATTTGTGATGACAGATACCTGTAAAATCAGCGCCGTCTTAATTCGCTTTCTCACTTGACAGCAAACAAAAGTGAGTGCTTTAGGATAAGAGCAAAAGCCCAGGCAGGTTTTCTAGCTGGTCTTCTGAGTGTTCAGGGATTTTCCCTGTGCTTTATAAGAAGCAACACAAGCGCAGTATATGTGTGTTTTGCTGATAAGAAGAGAAAAATGAATTGGCAGACACTTTCCCCAGACAAGACAGGAAGGCACTGTTTGAACAGAGCAGAAATTGGACTGCTTTACCAGCTGATCACAGTGCTGATGTTCAAAGCCTTCGGAGCATGTAATAGTCTTAGGTTCAGGTACACAGCCCTGGAAGCAGGAAAAAGCAAAGCTGATTTGAGGGAGCAAGGAAAGTTAAAAGCAAAATGAAAAGCTTTTATCAGAGAAAGCAAACTGGCGGGTTATAGTTTATCTGGTCACCTTTGAAGGGAAGGAAGCACTGAATTAATTATAGCAGCTGGAGGAAACTTGCTAATAGGGACCATCACAAAATGCTGTACTTCCAACCTCTGATCCACAGCTGCAAGCACACACGGAAATAAAAATCCACCGAGGAGTAACCAGGCATTTCTTAGCACGATGAGTGAAAACACAAATCTTGTCTCTCCTCTCCATCCCTAGAAATCCATGTGAAGCCAGGAAAAGTTGACATTCATTAAATGAAAGGGACTGAGGCAGTTAGTGGCTTTTATACCAATATACAAAATCAGAGATGCTCAGTTTTGCAAATTACCGCATCATGAAAGATATTTAACTACAGTTACTTGCCTTGTTGCCAATAAAGCACTGAGTGAATCATTGCCATAAAGCTGTTATACTAATAAAACAATACCAGGGAGATAGTTATCTGCTGAGTCGGGATCTTGCTTCTTGGGAATATAAAAAAAAGGTTGTTAAGGCCTTGTAACAGTTGCTAAATTAATGGCCGCCACAGGAACACAAGTACATATTTCAGGACACAATCGCATTGTGTAAACCTGAATCGTTGAGTTTATTTAAGATTCTACCCAACTTCTAAAGCATGCAGTATTCAGTGTACACACAGTTTCTTAAGGAAAATAGTTTCCAATTTTTGCCTGTATTTTAATTTCTTTTGTGTGTAAAGACCATGAAAACTGTACCTAGAATCAAGATTTTTAGAAGATGATAGTAAGCTATGCTGAAATTTAAGGTACTAAAGAGAATTATTTGGGTCACGTTTCCTACCTGGGTCACTACTCAACCTGCCAGCAAGAGTCACAGTGGAGACTGACGGTTGTAACGGAAGGACTGCTATCAACTCCTGACACAGTTCCCAAGGAAGGGCATAAGTGACAAACAGTTCAGTAATGTTATGCTGAGAGCTTTGACGGTAACAAAAGGCTGGGTTTCAGTGGAGGTTTTTAAACCCTCGTGGACTCTGAAAATGCAGTCTTGACATCCGGGGGTTTTCTAAGAGCACGCTGGGGGTGACTATGGGGATTGAGCTGAATACGTGTTCAGCTGCAGTCCTATATTCACAGAATGAAGCCGCGGAAGAATTTCGGCAGCATTTTAGAGGGTGGGTGACTACGTATCCAGCCTACTCATTGCAGAAAGCATAATGGAAGCCTGGCTGGGAACCTAATTCCAGAACATGGGATTAGCCTTAGCGATCATTCATGGCACAGGTGGACCTTGTCTGCCGGGGGAATATCTTGCTCCCTAGCAGGTTTGCTAAACTGTAGCAAGAAGGTCTGATGGGAAGCTGTGCGGAGAAGGAAAGGATAAGCAGTACTCAGACAGAGAGTCGTTTCACCTGACAAAGTGAGTCAGCAGTGCTGAAAGGTAGTCAGAGCTCAGGGAGCCGAAGCATGAGTTCAAATAATTCTACCCACACCTGTCCTGGACTTTACAGTATTTGGATGCTATCATTTAGCTCGTGTCCCCATGTGGCAAGAAGCAGCGTTTTCACTGCCACTGTAATGATGAGTGAATTAACTTTTTATAAGCAGTCTGTAAACATTAACTGTGCTAGATATCTTTATTCTTTTGCATTTACCCTGCACTTTAATCACCAATCTGTTTATATCCCTTACACCATTTCAGGGAGATGAGCTCTGGAGTGGAGGATTGAGTGCAACAGTTAATGGGCGTCAGGTAGTTTCAGATCTACCCAGAAAGTTCAAATTGCAGCTTATTGTGGGTGTTATCTGAGGAATGCTGTGGGCGGCGGGTGGGGGCTAGGGCTGCCCTCAGCTGTCTCCCCCCACGTGGAGGACCTTGAACCAAAATCTTCTCTTTCAGCCCTGTGACTTTCCTGCTCGGTCACTCTGGCTCTCAACAGGAAAACACAGGAAAGGCCTGCCTGACTCACGGACGTCCTCAAAGGTGAGAAGCAGGAAGGCGCTCTAGAAGCTCTGGAAAGACTGTTGCTAGAAAAACAGTAGGAAAAAATATTTTTGACTTTTGTTATGGTTGGTTATGATCTTGACCCAAAACCTCAGTGCTACTTGCCAGAAAATAGATATTACCTGAATAAAATCTATTTTCTCTTTGGTCTCACTTTGTAATGTTATGTAAATTTGTTTCAACAACAGACGTTTCAGCAGCATAAATCTTACAAATACTATTCCTTTATCTCAAGTCTGCAGCTCAGACATCTTAGCATGATGTTGCTGAGTAACTTTCCTTTCATATCTTCCTTACTGAGGATTGGTTCTTTTGACTTGATTTCAGCCCTGCGATTAATTACTACACACTGTATTATTTTAACTTTATGTTTCACATATAAATGCTAACCTATGCCTCCTGGCTTTTAACTTAATAAAACACAAAGTTTTTACATAAGAAAAACACTAAACTAAAAGGAATTCTCTAACATAATTTCTTGCATTTTATCCAGAGATAAGAATGAAACTAGGTGCAGGAAATGTGTCAGACAGAAGGTCTCCCAGGCTTGTGCTGAGCAGTATAGTAGCCACTGGGCTATGTATGGCTATTTATATTTCAATCAGCTAAGACTAAACACAGTTTAAAAATTCATTTCCTCATTGTGCTATGCTTGATGGACATATACTGCTAGTGAGCGTCATGTGGGAGCAGGCAGATATGGGATATTCCCTCCAGCACAGGAAGTTCCTTCCGACAGTGCAGGTGGGGAAGTCAGCATCATGACAAAAGCATGAAAGGAAGGCCAGAAAACAATCTTCTGTCTTTCTCTGCTGTTTCCTCATTTTTTTGACTGAAGATATGTAGCCTAGGGACTGAATGATGAAAAACAGAAAGTATTAATGTAAAATTCACCATATTTTTAGGGACTCTCCTTTTCCTGTTCACTATGCATTATTTGGGGAAGAAATGAATTTAAATAATAGTATTTTCTAATTTTCTATATGGTATGCTTTATAGAACTCTCTATTAGAAAGAAATCAGTACCAAAAGTATCTTTCAACATGGCAGAAGCCATTTTAAAAGTTACTTTCACCCTCCCCTCACTCTTCTATGTGACAAAACTTTGGAAGGATTTTCTAATTTTACCCGAGGGAGGATAAAAGGCCTGCATGTGACATGTGCCCACTCTCTACCAAAAGGAAAGAAATATTATCTTTGAGGATAAAGGAACAACAGAGAAGACTCTTACTTATTATCTTTAGATCATATACTTCACTCCACCTTAGTTCTCCACAACTACCCACAAATCAGGAAACCAAAAAGATTTGGGATGAACCATTTTGGGGGGGCTTCCTTAGGAAGGTATCATATAGAACTTAATGAAGGTACCATATAGAACTTAAAAATTTTTGTTTTTTCTCTTATTCATCTGTTTATTGCTACATTGGCCTCATCATGAGCCCAGAAGAAGTAGAAGGAAAGGTGTACCTATACATGCCAATAGGCATAGAACAATTGCTAGGGAAGAGGAACAATACCCGACAGGGAACTTACAAACTTTTAGGTACAGGAACTAATACTCCCTTGCAGTGGAAAGTTAACTCTCTATAGGAGATTGAGCAGGCACTTCATTAGAAGCTTTCTAATTTTTTCCGATTTTAATTCCTTAGCGTTGAACAATGAAAAATGCAGAGTGGATCACGAGCGCTTGCTATGTGACAAGTTCTCGTTATTCCCGTAAGGATGTCATCTCTCATAGAAACTCATTTCACATCTCGTCAGTTGCAACCATGAGCTAGGGAAACTGCTTTTTCATTTCTTGGAGGCAAGAATATAAAAAGAGAACTAATAGCATAAAGGACTAGCGTTTTCCCTAATGAGACTAAGCTCAAGCAACCCGTGTTTCTGAAAACGGAACAAGCCTTTTGCTATTTTCCAGCGGGCACTTGACAGTGATAATGGTGACACACTTCAGGGGTATTTTCGGAGCCTGGGGGAAACATGACAGGAGTGTGCGTTCCGGGTATGCAGCTACTGACTGGGTGATTGATGCTGTTTTCTCCTTTTGTCCAGCACTTGGCAGAGTGATTTTGTATAGAGCTGTGCAGAGCCCTAGAAATAAAAATATTATGACACATTTTCAAAGGATGCTCGGGAGTGACCTTTCAAAAGGGTGCCAGTGGTTTGGATCACTCATGACTGAACAAAGAGATGAAAGGTTTTCCTCTCTGGATATTAATTGTGAACAGAAACTTATGTGTAATGTTTATTGTATACAGAGATAAGAAAGGATCTAAGAAAAAGAGAGTAGTCAGGCCCTTCAGATTTCTGCAGAGGAAAGGGCCTGGGAGGCAAGAGTTTTTTGGTGTGCAATCAACTCTGCTGTTTCCAAGACACAGAACTGTAAAATTCAAGCTGAAACTTCTGTCTAAGCACAGGGTCAAGATAAAAATAAAGAACTCTACAAATACATCAAAGGCTTCAGCTTGAATGTTCTTCCTCAAGTTATTATTAGGTAGAGATCCTAAATTATTTTAAGTCTAACTTGATTACTGCATTCTGGATTTATCCTTGGCTTCTGACAAACATGACCAAATTCAGATTTTTAAATGTGAAGGACAACATCCAATCTGGAGTTCAACAGTTCACACAAAAATAAAACACAATGCACACAGAGGCTAGCATTCTCTAGACATGAGAACTTTTTGTTTCTCTTGAAAACTGTGGGGTGGAGTAAACAATTTTTATGACTAAAAATATATTTCATGTAAGTCTATAATAATGTGTCTCCCCTATCTAAGGTAAGTGTGGTTACTGTGGGGTGATCTTCTCAAATTGAAAATATCAGCGATGATGTTCCCATTTTTGATTAGTTCAGCAGTAACTTCTTGATTTATTGTTATTGTACTGGTTTCAGGATAAAAGCAAACAAACAAATAAACACAACTAGAGCAAAAAGCCCTCACCCTAAGCCAGTTGTATAAAGCTACTCATACTGAGAGAGAATTACCTACCAATTCCTTTGTCTTATAGGGTTCTTATGGACAGCAACTCAAACAATCGTTGCTAACCATAATTTGCTTCATATTTTAACTTTTATTTATAAATGTATTCCTGTATGATGTTCCACACATTACACCCTTCATTTCATGGGCCTTATTTTATCTCATCTGCAGGCTCCTAGAAGGAGTTATACGGTATAATTTCTTAGGCCTATTTCACATATGTGAAAACTAAGTTTCTAAACTTTAATGGCTGGTTAATTTTCCCACAATTAGAGCTGTTCTCCATGTGAGGAATGGTTCTAAGTCCTCTTAATTCTACTGAGTCTTTTATCCTCATTAAGGTGCTGTGTATTGAAACAGCGATAGCACAGGATCACTAGGGATAAGAACACAGACTCCAGAGCCAATGGAAGAGCTCTGATCCCGGCTTTGTGATTTACTGACTACGTCTCACAGGTCAACTTGCTGGTTCTTGTAGGCCTTAGATTACTCATCTATCAAAAGAACACACCCCTCCCCTATTTTACGGCACCGCTGGCAAACTACTCCTGTAGAGGCATCAAATCACGCTCATTGGGGCTTGCTGTTATTAAAGATTACTGTTCTTAAAGTTTTTCCTCAACCTTTATATTCACCATAGCTTCTTTTTGCATAACCCAAGCACTATCTCCCCAGTACTATTTAGGAAAAACAGGCATGCTATCAAAACAAGTACATTCACATTTAGAGAATGCAAAGGTCTCTGACAATTTATGTTTTTGCTGTGTTTACTATGTTTAATAACTTAGTTGAACTAAAATTTAGGGCTTAGCATTTTCTTACAAAAACCTGGGTTTTTTAGTGGCATCCTCTACATGGAAACCTTTCTACAAGGAAGCCAAGTACTCTCTGAAGCGAGTGTATCCTACATGTGATTATCTATTCTAACAAAGTTGTTGTCAAATCGAATGATGTATTTCAAGAATTAGAAAAAGGAGTCCCTTTGGCAGGATGGAATTAGCTGTTTCCGGCGCCCTTGGCTTGGCAAGCCTAGCTTGGGAAGAGTTTCAGCTCCAACCATCCTTGCGGCTGGGCAACCACATTCAGTGGCTCTGGCTTCCAGTTCCCTCTAGGTTACAGACCTGACTTGGGTAGGAAAGCACTAAGTGCAGCGTCAGAAGAAGGCATTCGCGTGTGACCTACCTCATGGTACTTCTTCACGGTTTTCCCTGAGCTGCAATTGCAGGACTTGCCGTTTGCAATTCCACAGCCGCAGTTCCCTCCGCACCGCTGCACCAGGAGGCAGCGAGGGAAGAAGACCGCGTTGGAGAGCTTCAGCTCCTCTCTCAGGTTGACTGAGTAATTCCTGGGGGTGCAGCTGTAGCGCTTGACATCATCGTTGAGCCTGTCCAGGTCAACTGCGGGCAAACACAAACACGGTGTAAACAAACGCAACGGTAAGCGCAGTCCTCGTTACTGGGGAGTTTCTGTAAGGGCCATCTTAACGCAAGTTCAGTCTCTCTTTGGGAACTTACGATGGAAAACTCTAATTTCTCTTTGATCCTTTCTGCCCTCCAAAAATAACAACAAAAATAAAAGTCTTGACTAAAATCTGTATTGTGGTTCATATTTCCTGGTACCTTTTTTAACGTAAATTTTTTTTCCAGATGAAAGAAAATGAAACATTTGAGAATTTAAAATAAATGTCTTTGTCTTTAAAAGCACAAAATAAATTATTTCTTGTTTCTAAGTAAATCCTGAATCTAAGTCATTACTTAACTATAATTTGAGATACACAGACACATTGGGAATGAGCACTGTAACGTGTATACCTGGCAACAAAATTATTAGAAGTTAAAATTATTAGAAGAAAAAGATGTTAGCTTCATTTTAAATCCAAAAGGAAATGATGTGTTGGCGAGTAGGGAGCATATTTGTGCACTGGGTCCTAGATGGCGGTATAGCATAGTGGTTAAGTGTCCAGGCTGTGCTGTAAAGCTACTGCTTTATCATCATACTGTGCCTCCCCTTAGTTGGAAAATTATTTAATGCCTCTGAACCTCTGCTTTTTCATCTACATCACAAATATATGAAGGGTTAAATACAATGTGCCCGGTAGTCAATGTGGGGTATTATTCATTCTTTTGCTTCATTTTGTTTTCTCCACCTTCATTTGTTTTCTTTTAAAGTCAATTGTTAAATAAAAAAAATTAGATCTTCCTCCTTGTTTCTCTTTCAGTCATTTTTCTATAACAATGTTTCTCAAGGGATATGGTTAATTGGGCTACTATGAACTGTCTTGATAATCTTTAAGATCCAAGTAATGCAGTTGTGCTTGAATTAAATTTGTGTTGTTACAATACATAAACTGTATTTTACATAGCGTTCTCCGGATCTACTCGGTCACCCATCCACTTGGCATTCAGATCCTGGCCACTCTGCACATGCACAAATATCTTCTACCAGAACCACAACAGAAGAGAGCTCTGGGGCCAGGGATATAGCTGAATGGCACAGCGCCTGCCTGGCAAGCGGAAGGTCCTGAGTTCAATTCCCAGTAACAAAAAAAAGAAAGAAAGCTCTTTTGATTGCACAGTTCCTACCACCACAGCCTGGTGAAGTTCCCTGTGTACCAGCTGGGCCGCCATTTGCAGGAGACACACCTCAAATGCCGGACAGACCTCCCATTTATCCTGGACTCCAGCCCTGGTCAGCATGTTAACCTTAAACCAAAACTGCTTGAGGAGCAGGAAGGAGTGGTTTTGAGGGCAGAGGTCAAAGGCTAAGGATGACATCAGTAGAGTGCCTTTAAAAGCAATGGAAGGACAAGAAGGCGCATATGTGGCTGGAGTGTCCATTAACCCCATAAAGTCAGCCAATTTCACTGAGAGTAAGAAAGACATCAGCTATGTGGCCAGATGAACCTTTGAATAGGAAATTAAATGGCAGAGGGATTGATGTCTTACCCGGAGTGCATTTTCCATTGTGCCTTGATTTTCAAGGGCAGGGATTTATACCTAACTGCTAAATGCTTAGCTTGGGACACTGTGGGGACTGAATAAATGCTAATCACTGTGCATAATTTATTGCTGTTTTTTCTTCCTTTGTAAAGACGTGTCATAAGTTTAGCTACAATCAATCCAGATTTAGATTGAATGAACTCTGTCTTGGGAAAGGAACCATTTTATTGCCGCTAAAGCCCTGAAAAATAACTGCAAGCAAAGCAGAAAGGATTACATAAATGGATTAAGAAGTGCAGCAATCATCCATTACAAGTGTCACCTTGAGATAAATACTGCTGCTGTCCTGTGCATTACTGGGCTTGTGGACAGGGCTGGTGCAGGGAGCCAAATCCACTGCCTGTGATAATCAGAATGTGTTTGTCTAAGACGAGGAACACAGAGGTGCAATTAGCAGGAAAGGATCATGATGGGAGGGCAGAGGGGGCAGGAAGGAGGTACCAACACCGAGTTCTTTAGTTCAGCTTTTTGTTAGTCACCAGATGTATGGTAACGTTTAGTTGCTTCCCACCCTTTTGAACTAGGCATTATTTAACCAAGGTGAACTGTAAATGGTAAAACTAGGTTTAAAGTGTTTCAAGCCACTGATTGAAAGAAAAAGACCAATAGAGCTAGGGCTGTGTCAAGCTTTGCTACGGGATATTAAATTGAGGCTGGAGCAATGAATAGCCACGTCCCTACCTTGATGAGATATCTAAGCCAAACTACAGCCTGCCTTCCGTATGTGAATTTAACAAAATCCCAAAATACCACCCACCAACCAGAACAAGGCACACGGGTCTTATTTCCCTTGAAATCTAACTCCTCACTTTGTACAACCGTTTCACTGAGGAGTGTGGGTGACTGCTGTTTCCTACCTGCCATGAAAAGATGTACAATGCTGTCAGTTTTATGCCTCAATTCACTGATGTGACAAGGGACTATGGCCTCACGTGACCGCTGTGGAATCAGCTGCCCTACTTATCAGGGGATTGAAGCCACCGAGGCACTCGATTTAGAACTAAGACTAAAAGGTTCTTCTGACTGGATGCAAATAACTTCAAGGCACGACTGCAGACTTTCGGCAGGGACATTGAATTTCCAGTCAGGGGAGACAGATGAGGCAGCACAGCAGAGCAAAGAGTCAGTCAGAGGCTGAGCAACAATTAAGGCTCCTTGTACTCTGGTGGGAAGGCACACACTGGTGTGAGCCTCCCGAAAGGGTTGGCGAATGGAGTGGTATAAATCGTGGGAGAAACGCTGCCTTTTCCACTCCCGCATCACTTTCTGTGGCTGAACATTACAGAGCTGCAAGGATATTCCAAATTTAATTCAAAAGGCCATTAATTTAATCTAATTTCCCTTATTTCACCCCAGTGCACACAATGTTATGAGAGTGGTACGGAGTCAAATTTCCCCATAAGGTCAACATTGACTCTAACCCTTGAATTTGATTCTCTTCTCTTCCAATCGGGTTCATGACCAGAATCATAGAGAGAATTAAGTTCATGAACCAAGGTATGACCGTGCCTATGTTGCTGTCCCTTTGACTTTGAGGCTTATTTTTTCTTAGATCTTTAAGATCAGCTAAGCTTTTTGGGCTTTGTGGTGACAATCTTTTAGAGGCTCAGAGGAGGCCCACTGCCCCCAACCCTTCCTTGGTCCACAGCGACAGGTGGCACAGTGCGTGGGGAACACTTTCTCTGCACAGCCTGGCCTCCAAATGCAGCCTGGTCACAGAGGTTCGTGGCAGTCTGGTCAGAATTCTGTGGTAGCGTTAGGACAGGGAAAGGATTAGGTGTGGATGGAGGATACTCAAATAGGTCTTGTTGATCCTGGCCATTAAATTACATGTAAAGGAACTGTGAAGTTTTTCACATAGACAATTGTAGGAAATCCTCACAAATGCTAAAAAAATACATACCACTATTACCTTTACTTTCACAGTTGAGAAAACTGAATCTTTGAAAATTTAAAGAAAACAATCTATCTACAGAATCTCTTATCCTCCTGTCCCATTTCTTTTCCCGTAATGATAGAAAACCAAGGACAGATCACTTAAGTTTCCCTTTTGTAAAAGCATTTGATTTCATCAATTAGAAGCAGTAACCTGTGGAAAGAAACAGACATCATCCCAGTACAAGACTTCTTTTCAGAATGGGTATTCAACACATACTATCTAAATGAATCAAATAAACTTCTGATTTTTTTTCAATTTTTCTTATTATGAAGACATTATTACTTCAAGCATCTTTCAGAGAGAGCTTAGAGTATCATTTATATGCTGAATGGCTTTTATTTCTAACATACCTTTGAGTGTTGTACATGCTAACGTGTTACGCTAGCATTGATACACTAGGGTTTGAGAGTCAGCTATACTATGGATGAACCGTGGTGTATGACAATAATCAACACTGTGACCCAGGGAACCTAGAAGTAGTGCAGCCAATGTGGAATGTGGCTTCCAGAAGGTTGGCTTTCAGATACATATGCCAAGGTAATATAGAACATGTACTTGGCCCAGTGGAGACTAGCCCTACAATCTGTTATGTAAAGTGCTGAACACATGACCTGGGTGTTACAACACTAGATTTATGGTGCTTGGGGTAGGAGTAGGAGGTGAGAAGAATATATGAATAATTGTACTTGTTGTCTACCACACAAATGCAGATTCTCAGGTTTTTCATGGTTCATAAATTCTCCTGGCAGACTCTGTTCATCTTTATGGACTTTACAGTCTCACTGTGATTTTAAGATTCCCTCATCTGTAAATCATGACATAATTGTGAAAACTATTTTTGCAGTTCAACTTTGATTTTGGAAATGCAAATAAATCTCAAAAGAACAACATTCACGATATTTAATATTTTAATAATATGACTAAGAATGAATAATGAAGTATTTTACCATATTTATTGAGGGACTTGCAGGGCATTTCAAAATCATAAAATATACTAAATTTTGTTATTCTATTTGTTGGTTTAATACCCAAAGAATAGAAATATTTACCACTTATACTTAAAATTAAATCACACCAAAAGGCTCCTGATTAGATAAATGCTAATTTTCAAGGTTTAAAAACACTGTAAAATCATGAGGAAATGGAAATTTACTGAGCACCTACTGTGTGCCCAGAACTGTATGAGATGCTTTTGGAAATTCAAATCTCATTGTTTTTATAACAAATCTTCATTTTTGATATTACTTTTTCCATGATAAAGATGTGGAAACTGAGATGCAGAGAAGCCAAGCAACTTATCTAAAGCCATTGACATGTTCTAGACACTTAACAAATATCTGCTGGACAATCAGTGGATGAATGAACTATCTGGAAGGTGCTGAATTAGGCACTGAGGTAGGTGACAGCAACATGAGGCAACTCTCTGAACCCTAGGAGCTCGGGACTTGGGGAGTGGATG